GTAGCATTGCATCAGTGTCTCAGCAATGGATGTTCTGCAGTGAATGGGTGCCGTCAGAATGAGAGTCCAAACAGCTGATAAAAACATCACAATAATCCACAGCACTCCAGTCCATCAGTTAACATCTGGAGAAGACAAAAGCTGACACACATCCAGCATTAAGATGCTTTTAATTCAAATACAGAGTCTCTATAATCCATAATAACGCTTCCTCCAGTGAGTCAGTGTTCTGGTGTGAATCAGGAGAGAAATCTGCACAGATCAAGCAGCGTTTAAACAGCTCTAAACACACATGTGGCTGGATTCTGATGTGAGAGACAACAGCAGATGCACTTTTTCACTGGAGGAAGCGTTATTATGGATTATGGACTGGTATTTTGGTCTAAATCAACTTCAGCAATTTCAGCTGTACAGAAGTGGGGGAAAAAAACAGCTCTACAGAAGTGTGTGTGTGTGTGTGTGTGAGTGTGTGTGTGTGTGTGTGTGTGTGTGTGTGTGTGTGTGTGTGTGTGAGAGCTTTTTGCTTCTGATGATTGTATTTAGGCTTCAAAATTCAGAAAACAGGCGTGTTTACAGAAGTGTGTATGTGTGTGTGTGAGTGAGTGAGTGAGTGAGTGAGTGTGTGTGTGTGTGAGTGTGTGTGTGAGTGTGCGGGTGCGGGTGCGCGTGTGTGTGAGGAATGCAGCAGGAGACATATGTCAGTGTCCTTCAGAGCGTGTGTTGTTGTCTTCATCTCTCCTGCTGATGATCTCTGCTGTGATCACACTCATCCTGGACAGAGCAGAGACCAGTAACAACACAACATGACATCTGATATAGTCGTCCAGCCCAGCTCATTTATCCCTGTGTTGTCCTCTCTTGAACAGTAGCACTAAGCTCCTGGTTAATTTCTACTCCTCTCCTCCGGATCGGTGACAGAAGTGTCCAGGTTGACTGCAGTAGGTCAGCGTGAGGTCAGTCATCAGCTGTCTGTCTCACAGCACCTCACAGCTGCGGTTCAGTGTGAAGAGGAACAGCTCTGATTCAGAGTAAAACACCTCATTCAGAACGGACACAAAAAGGAACATGAGCCAGAGATCCTGATGGAGTTTGATCGTGAGCTCAGAGCGTCACATGATCATTCTGTGGTCAAACGCCCCACTTCTGCATTTATTACACCGCACACACGGGAACACGAGGGAAGCTCAGTCAGACGTGGCCTGCAAAATCACAAAAAAAGACCGAAAACGAACTATGTTTTGTAATATTTTCATGGCCATTTCACTGTTAAAATTAAATAATCCCTTTATAAACCTTTATTTTACTGGTTTAATTACATTCGAATAAATCAGAAAGCATCTCATGTGTTTAACAACTAATATAATTTTTTGTCTAAGCATTACAATACTTTACAATAATAGGGCCTATTTGAGATATTCTGGGTTGTTGGTTGTTGTTTTTTGTGTGTTTTTTCCTGAATTTAAGAGTTAATTCAAATTCATTTTTAAAAATTTTGGTAATTAAATAAAGCCATAAAACATTTACAGTTTAATTAAACTTTGAACATGAAATCCAGTGAAATGCACCAATTCCTTTTATAACAGAGGCTTACTGTTTAAATTAAAACATGGAGGAAAAATTGTGATGCTCCTTAAAAATTTTTTAAATAAGTCTATTATGATTATGTGTGTGTGTGTGTGTGTGTGTATTACACAGAACATGCAGACTTCATATTTCAAAAGCAGTTTTTGTGCTTTAACGTTCACATGCACTCTTTTGATCATTTGATGAAGTAGCAACACTACTTTTTATTTATTCCTCTAAAATTCAATGAACAGTCTGCCTTATTCTGTAAATACCATCTTAATGGCTAGATTCTGTGATTCATATATTTTTCCACATCGTGGAAATCATACGGCCCTAGATAATGTTTTTGGGGTTTATGGATGTTTGGAGAAACCCTACAGTGAGTCCCAGTCTCATGGTTGACCACTAGTCTAACCTAAAGCCTGACTTCATTTATGATTTTATTTTTCCCAGTTGATGACATCTCTGGAGCTGCCCAGAGGGAGATTTTGATCTGCAGACAGATCCTGTTCCTGAACTGTGTCTAAATAAACACAGCAGATCATCCAGACTGCTCTTCTGCTCCAGCACAGTCAACATGAGCTCTCACACACGTACAGAAGATCATTAAACCTGCTACTGTAGGTGATCAATATAATACATGTGAGAAAACCACCTGAAAACATTCTGACGCTTGCAATGTAAATCAATGAGATCTTTCTAACAGTGCAGCAGATACTGACATAAAATCATATAGATATCAGTGCTCACTCTATATCTGCCCTAACCCATGTCTCAGTGAGAAGAGATTGAAATGCTCCAAACATATAGTGCAGTGATTGAGAGCTGAAGAAATAAAGGCTCCTCCTCAGATGTGAGATGTATATTCTGGGTTGTTGGTTGTTGTTTTTTGTGTGTTTTTTCCTGAATTTAAGAGTTAATTCAAATTCATTTTTAAAAATTTTGGTAATTAAATAAAGCCATAAAACATTTACAGTTTAATTAAACTTTGAACATGAAATCCAGTGAAATGCACCAATTCCTTTTATAACAGAGGCTTACTGTTTAAATTAAAACATGGAGGAAAAATTGTGATGCTCCTTAAAATTTTTTAAAATAATTCTATTATGATTATGTGTGTGTGTGTGTGTGTGTGTGTGTATTACACAGAACATGCAGACTTCATATTTCAAAAGCAGTTTTTGTGCTTTAACGTTCACATGCACTCTTTTGATCATTTGATGAAGTAACAACACTACTTTTTATTTATTCCTCTAAAATTCAATGAACAGTCTGCCTTATTCTGTAAATACCATCTTAATGGCTAGATTCTGTGATTCATATATTTTTCCACATCGTGGAAATCATACGGCCCTAGATAATGTTTTTGGGGTTTATGGATGTTTGGAGAAACCCTACAGTGAGTCCCAGTCTCATGGTTGACCACTAGTCTAACCTAAAGCCTGACTTCATTTATGATTTTATTTTTCCCAGTTGATGACATCTCTGGAGCTGCCCAGAGGGAGATTTTGATCTGCAGACAGATCCTGTTCCTGAACTGTGTCTAAATAAACACAGCAGATCATCCAGACTGCTCTTCTGCTCCAGCACAGTCAACATGAGCTCTCACACACGTACAGAAGATCATTAAACCTGCTACTGTAGGTGATCAATATAATACATGTGAGAAAACCACCTGAAAACATTCTGACGCTTGCAATGTAAATCAATGAGATCTTTCTAACAGTGCAGCAGATACTGACATAAAATCATATAGATATCAGTGCTCACTCTATATCTGCCCTAACCCATGTCTCAGTGAGAAGAGATTGAAATGCTCCAAACATATAGTGCAGTGATTGAGAGCTGAAGAAATAAAGGCTCCTCCTCAGATGTGAGATGTTCTGGAGGCTTGTGAAGATCATTCCTCCGCTGAGGAACAGTGAAAGTAAAGCTTCTGGAAACAAACGCTCCTCAAAAGATCCTGAGGATCAGATTTGAGACTCTAAAACATGATTGATGGAGAATCAAGTAAAGCTGAGCTGCTTCAGTCCAGTAAGTGTTCATCTGGAGATATTACTGCAGTTATTCTGACCTTTACTTGATCAAAACCAGTCCAGATTTGACACGAGAAGAGTTTCTACAATTACACTAAAAGAGCTTTCACTGGATAAAACACTCAATGTTTGAGTGTTTTATCACTCAAACATAGTGAGTTTTATACTCACTATGTTTGTACTGTCTTCTACACTGGAAGCTCCTGTCGTCAAGTCAAATTCCTTGTGTGTGTAAACATACTTGGTAATAAAGCTCTTCTGATTCTGATTCTGATTCTGATTCAATCAGAGACAGAAGACACGAGGAGATTGAGTGCGAAACAGCTTTAAATGCAAAGACTGATCATGTTGATGATGTAGAGTCGTAGACATGCACATATCAGATATGATACAGCAACTTAACATGATTCAATATCAGTCTTTCTTGCATCAATTTGTGAAAAAACTGAGCTACTTTACTACAGTGACGGTTGGTGAAATCACCATTTCAGAACAAATACTTCAGTACAGTACGTATTAAAAAGACATAGTCTTGTCGTTCCAAACCTGTTCGAGTTTCTATCTTCTATCGAACACAAAAGAAGATATTCTGAAGAACGCTGGTAACCAATCAGTTGCTAGTCTCATTGACTTCTACTGTGTTTTTCTTTTCGTACAATGGAAGTCAATGGCTACCGGCAGCTGATTGGTTACCAGCGTTCTTCTGCACATCTTCTTTTATGTGTCTAACAGTTTGATCTTGAGTGTGTGTGTGTCCGGACATGCCCGCACTCACACACACACACACACACACACACACACACTCTCCTCAGTGCAGGATCCGTCTCGTCCTCGTCTCTGTGTGTGGGATCTGCTGTGAGCTTCGGCTCTGGACTGCTGGACTGAATGAGTGTGAATGTGAGGAGAGTGCTGGGCTCGTCTGCTCGTGTCACACAGGTAACTCATCACATGGGCTTGAGTTTAAGGACTAACGGCTTCATTAGTGATCAGTGTTTCTGTTGGTTCTCACTGTGGTGTTGTGTATGTGAGTGGAGCAGATGTGTGAATGTTGTGAGGTTTGTCAGACATGTCTGCTCTCGTTCCTCAGTCAGTGTGTTCTGTTCAGAATCACACACAGATTCAGCACACAATATAGCGTTTAGCATGTTCAACATTCTTTTCAGTCTTTTCACTCCAAAATAAAAAAATATTTTTAAAAACTTTTTTTGTTGTTGTTTTGCATTGTAACATTATTTTCATGACAAATTAACACATTTTCACACAAAATTCTCATCGCTTTAATGCAACAAGTCTTATGATCATTTCTGTTGTGTGTCCGGACGATTCACTTTTTGGTTTGCAATTTTCATTCTCAGTGCTGAATTTGAATACAATTACAATAATGCAATAGTCTTTTTTTATTTTTGTTTTTATAAAAGTACAAAACAATTACATTAAAAACACCTCAAAACATTAAAAACATTACATTTGTTTATTGTTTTATGTAAATCACTGTGAAGGCTGTAAATACAACCATAACAGAAATGCTTTACTATTTAAATAATTAAGTATTATTATTATTATTATTATTATTATTATGCATTATAGTAATGAAAATTTGGGGGTTTAAATGTTTTCTTTTTAATTGTCATGAAAATATTTTCACAGTGTATAATCTGCTTTAGTTGGCTTGGTTGTCTTTGAACAGAGTATAATGTGTGGTGTTTTGTGAGTGTGAGCTGGCAGGCGTGTTTACAGCATCACTGAGCGCGACACACACACACACACACACACACACACACACACACACACACACACGGAGAT